AAGAGGATCCTAGAAAGACAAATTTTGGAACAATTATGTCTGGTAAATATCCAATTTTTATCAAACTGCCTCATAATGCATTATGACTTTCTCTCCAAGTAGCAGTCCAAGACAAACATAAAAATATGAATGTTAATTAATGGCATTTAAAAGTATAGCATGCATATAAATGAACAGTTAACTCACTTGTGGTGTGGGCATTACAATACTTTGGATATAACATGACAAAAAGCACATACACCAAAGAACTCTCTTTCATTAAAGTAGGAAGATTTGCCACAATTTTTGATTTGTAACTTGATTTACAAAAACATGTATGAATAAGTACACTGAGCAAACATTGGGAAAGCCTTTGATTTTTATTAAATTAAGATACAGGGATAGCGCTCATTAAAATCAAACTACTTTCAGTGTTGTCCTAGACTGTAAACTATCACATTTAAAGAGACCACTATGACAGTCCCTGGGTGCTGTGTATGCAACCTAATAGATATCAGCAAAAATCCCATCAATCATCACAACAAATTCTCGCTTGAGACTTCCCATGGAAAGTATTGAAATGAAAGTATTTTTAAAATGTTAATGTACATCCTATTAAAATTAAAATATATCTCAAAATGTGATAAATGGGATCATTCCCATACTATGTGAAAACAACTGTAATTGGGGTCAGCCACCCTCTGAATACTGCAGGTGAATTAATTTCTCTTATCTAAAAAGTAGGTGTTTATTCAAATGAAATGAATCAGCTCACCTTTGACTATTAAGAGAGCCTACAAAACTAGCCTAGCTGAAGTGCCTATCTTTAAAAAAAATAAATTTGAGATAATTTCTTTTTAATGTCATGACCACAACAAAGAGAAGGCTAAATTGGCAAAATATTTGAGAAAGGGTGGATGCAGAATCTGTGCCTAGGAATACATAAATTTATCTTTTACTGTCCAGTGTTTTCTAGTTCTTTCAGAGAGTTGCGTGGTTGTTTTAAGCTGATGAATCATGGGCCTCTGAATGTGTCAGATCAGACAGGTCTGTTCTTCCTCGGGGAGAGCAATGCGGTAAGAACGCGTGGGTTTGCGATTAGACCTGAAATGTGAAATTCTTGAATCTTTTCCTTAGCAATGGTATGAATTGACATACCCTTGTACATATCGCAGTGGTGAGATGAAGGCCTGAGCAGGGACAGAAGAGAATTTTACAATGAGATTATGGGAGAAAGTGTGACTGTTTAGGAAGAAGATACGTGCAGTGAAAATGGAACATCTGCCACCTACCTAAAATACCCTGTTGGCCAGTCAAAGAGAGGCAGGATGTTTCCTGGCACCGTGAAGCTTAACGTGGCCAACTTCCTTCCTACTGAAGTTGTAGGTCTTGTTTTGCCTAATCCTTCACTGTGGTAAGAATGCAAGTTACCCTGCTTAAAAGCCAGCTCAGACTGTGGCTTCAGATGGGCTGCTGCTCCTTAAGTCATCTGATGAGATCCAATTCAGTTCACCACACTGGCAAGCAGACAAGAGTCCTGGGGCTTGCACAAGGGCAGACTCAGCTGGGGGAAGCTGCTTAAGCTAACACTGCTTCCAGAGTCTAAAACGTATCAGTTCTGTGCTGCTCTCGTAACAGTAAGTGGCCTTTACCTAAAGAAACATCAAACAACGGGCAGCAAAACCTCCCTCCTGAGCTGCATCTGGAACTTGGGGCAGATGCTTTCAGACTGTTTCAGCTATTACATTTTAAAATTAAATTGAATTAAAATAAAAAACTTAGCCATATATAATGAAAAACTCACAATAAATTAAAGAATAGCACACGTCTTAAAAAGATTTGTCTGAAGTAAACCATCATTAGATAACACAGCCAGATGAGTAGTCATCTACAGACAAGGTGGAGCAGACCGTGCCTGCAGAACAGGTCACTAATCCAGAAGGCAGCAACTTGGAAAGCTTTTAGGAGGGAACAGATGAGCACCTGGGTGTGAACCACCACTGTTCTGTGCCAGAAGGATCCTAGGTAATAAATATATGGTTCACAAGCTATTTGTGGCCACTGAGTACTTCACTGAGGAAGCGATGCTGGAATGCTGCCTTCAAGTCTTGCCTTGATACTCTTTAAAGAGTGCAAAAACTTGATTGTGTTGGGTTTACACGGCAAGGTTTTAGTAGCAGGGGAGCTGCACGGTGGCTTCTGTGAAAAGACATCAGAAGCGGGCCCCATATTGTACAAAGCCAACAGCAGCCGGCTCCAAGATGGTCCTGCTGTTGGCCAAATCTGAGCCCATCAGTGACACTGGTAGCACCCCTGTGATAACCTATCTATCTAAGAAAGGGTAAAAACTGCTGCACAACAGCAGCTGGGAAGGAAGAGTGAGAATCTGTGAAAGGAACTGCACTGCAGACACCCAGGTCAGTGAAGGATGGGGAGGAAGTGCTCCAGGAGCCTAACAGAGAATCCCCTGCAGCCCGTGGTGAAGACCATGGTGAGGCAGGCTGTACCCCTGCAGCCCATGGAGGACACCACACCAGAGCGGGTGGGTGCCTAAAGGAGGCTGTGACCCTGTGGAGAGCCTGTGCTAGGGCAGGCTCCTGGCAGAACCTGTGGACCAAGGAGCCCATGCTGGAGCAGGTTTGCTGACGGGACTTGTGACCCCATGGGGGACTCACACTGGAGCAGTCTGTTCCTGAAGGCTGCAACCCGTGGAAGGGACCCATGCTAGAGCAGTTCTTGAAGAACTGCAGCCCGTGAGAAGGACATTGGCAGTGTTTATAGAGGACTGCCTCCTGTGGGAAGGACCCCACGATGGAGCAGGGGAAGAGTGCAAGAAGGAAGGAACAGCAGAGACAACACGTGATGAACTGACCACAAACCTCATTGCCTGTCCCCCTGAGGCGCTCAGGGGCAGGAGGTGGAGAAAACCAGGAGGGAAGTTGAGCCCAGAAAGAAGGAAGGGGTAGGGGAAAGGTGTTTTAAGATTTTGGGGTTTTGTTTGTTTTTTTTTTCCTCATTACCCTACTCTAATTTGATTGGTAATAAATTATTTCCCCAAGCGGAGTCTGTTCTTTGTCCATGATGGTACTTGGTAAGTGATCTCCTGGTCCTTATCTTGACTTATGATCTCTCCATCGTATTTCCCCTGTCCTGTGGGTGGAGGGGGAGTGACAGAGAAGCTCCATGGGCACCTGGCGACCAGCCAAGGTCAACCCACCACATTGACAGAGAGTGAAAAAAGAACCACAAATTATTCAATTAATATTCATAAAATATTCAAGAGCTGGAGAATGTCTTGCATTGGGAGATGTAGAAAGTTCAATCTATTCAATTTATAAAAAATACGTGATAATAATGCAATGGATATTAATTTTCCTTTGGGGAAGAAAATAGCAGGTAAGAGAATTAATTTTACTTTTTAATTTGTGAGAAAGAACAGAGGCAGATGACTGGAGTCTGAAAACACAAACAAAACATTATCTTCCAAACATTCAAGGCAAGGCGTTCTGGTGTCCACTAAGGCACGCGGCGCAGTCACCATCCTTCGCAATCACCCTAAGTTTTGGCAATTTAATGAAAATTGTCTTTCAGAGAGGCCACATGGGCAGGAAGCTTACAGGCCTGCTGCTGCTTCTGCTCTTAAGTCTGGCTGGGGAGTACCAAGGTCTGTGTCCTTGTGGCCAAGGTGGCCAATGATCTCCTGGGGTGCACTATAAAGTGGCCAGCAGGTTGAGGGAGGTCCTGCTGGGCTCCCCAGTTCAAGAGAAAGAACTACTGGAAAGAGTCCAGGGGAGGACTACAAAGATGATAAAACAATGGAGCACCTCTCTTATGAGGACAGGCTGAGAGACCTGGGTCTGTTTAGCCTGGAGAAGACTGAGAGAGGATCTATCACTACTTCTAAATATCTAAAGGGAGAGTGTCATGAGGAGGTGACAGACTCCTTTCAGTAGAGCCTGGCAACAGGACAACAGGCAACGGGCACAAACTGGAACACAGGAAATTCCATCTCAACACGAGGGAAAACTTCTTTATTTTGAGGGTGGTAGAGCACTGGCACAGGCTGCCCAGAGAGGTTGTGGCATCTCCTCTGGAGATATTCAAATCACACCTCAATTCATTCCTGTCCAACCTGCTCTAGGAGGACCTGCTTTGGCAGGGGGGTTGGACTAGATGATCTCCAGAGGTCCCTTCCAGCCCCTGCCATTCTGTGATTCTGCGACGGTGCCACTCAAACCTGTCAAACCTACGAAAAACAGTATTTGTGATCTTCCTCTGAGTATTAAGCAGGAAATAGAATCATAGAATCGTTTTGGTTGGCAGAGACCTTTAAGATCATCGAGTCCAAGCATTAACCTAGTGCTGCCAAGCCCATCACTAAACTGTGTCAGCACCACACCTACAGGTCTTCCCAATTCCTCCAGGGATGGCGACTCAACCACTTCCCTGGGCAGCCTGTCCCAGTGCTCGACAACCGTTTCGGTGAAGCCATTTTCCCCTCACAAACGCGGGGGAACAGGCCCGCGGCGCCACGCACCGACCGGCCGCGGGGTAACTAGGCCGGGTAGGTGCCCCGCTCCTCCTCCTCCTCCTCCTCACCGCCGGGGGGAGGCGGCACCAAGGGCCGGGCGGCGGCAGCACCCTGCAGGCCCCGCTCCGCCCTCGCCCACCGGCCACCCCAGCCCCGCTCC